CACACACACACACACACACACACACACACACACAAATAAATGAATAAAATTAAAAAATAAAATAAAATTACTCTTATTTCAGTGACAGATTTACATATTTCACATTTCATTCATTATTTGTGGCTTTAGACAGGATAGTTTTTTTCTAGAGCAATTACCACACCCAATTTCTCTGAATTCAATTTTGAATTTGACACGTCTCAGAAAGATTTGATTCTTCTGTCAATATTAATCAATAGCAAATATTGTTAAGTGCAGTTTGGGCACTGGCCAGTTTTATCTGATGCTAATTAGCATTGCTAGAGTATGGATAAGACAAAAGTATTAGCTCTGGGAGCAGTGTTTGAAAAAACTCTCAAGAGTTGGGAATGTAGCTCAGTGGGTGAGCCCATTCTAGGACACATGAGCCTGTGGCTTTATTTGCCAGCACTTTAAGAAACAAAACAGCCATTCTGGCCCCACTCCTGGGACAGCAATTGAGACTGGATGTTGTGGCCTGTGCCTGTAATCCCAGCACTTGGGAGGCTGTAAACAGAAGGATCACTATGAGTCTGATCTACACAGTGAGACCCTGTACAACCTGTATACCCTGTACACCCTGTCCAAAAGAAAAAAAGAAACAAAACAAAATAAAAATAGCATGAAAATCATTGGAGTCATTTACTTTATATACCTTTAAAATTTTCTAGAGTACAAAGTTTTACTTATTTTTATTTTTTTGGCGGAACTGAGGATTGAACTCAGGCCCTTGAGCTTGCCAGGGAAGTGCTTATTCCACTGAGCCGTCTCCCTGGCCCCAAAGTTTTAAAGTTATGTGTTGGGCCAGCAAGATAGCTCAGTGGACTAAGCACCTGCTTAGGCAAGCGCAAGGACTGGGATTTGATCCCTGGCACCACATTCCATGCTGGCCCCACCCCCAGGCGCACTGAGACAGCCACAGAGACCAGATGTGGTGGTGTATGCCTATGGAGACTGACACAAGAGGATTGCTACAATTCTGAGCTGCATAGTGAGACTCTGGACCAGATGCATAAATTTTTTTTTTTAATTTTATTTATATATGTATGTGTGTGGTCAGCTCAGCCCACCAGGGGGCGGGGCTGGCTGGCATGTGGTGCTGGGGGATTGAACTGTGGTCCCCGTGCTCTGCCAAGCTTGCTCTAAGTAGGTGCTTTAGACCACTGAGCCATCTCACCAGCCCCCATAAAAATTTTTTTAAAAAAAATTATTTGTTTTAGGGCCGGGGAGACGGCTCAGTAGAATAAGTGCTTCCCTGGCAAGTGCAAAGGCTTGAGTTCAATCCCTGGTTCCGCCCAAAAGAAAAAAAAAAGACTTGGGCTTAAAAATTATTTGTCTTCATTCCCCAGTGCCAAAAAAACAAAATAATTAGAGCTGCTTATAAAAATTATTTGTCACTGAAGTAGGCCTAAAATACCCTGTCTGAAAAATCATTTTATTGCTAGGCGTGGTGGTGCTCACACCTGTAATCCCAGCACTCACAAGCTGAGGCAGGACTACAGCAAGTTTGAGGCCCGTATGGGCTACATAGGGAGTTCAAGCCCAACTTGACTTGTATAACGATAGCCTGTCTCAAAAAAATTAAGAAAGAAAAAAAAATTTTACCTTACTCAGTATCTGGTAGGTGCCAGGCCCTGTTGACAGAGGCTACTGTGGGAATCAAAATGGAGTCCCAGCCCTAGCTTACTCTTAGACAATGGATAAAGCAGAATTTGTGAGGACAGAGACAGCAGCAGGATCTGTGAGGAGGGTGGTAGGGAAGGTGACATCTAAGCAGAGACCTGAGTGAGGGAGCAAGCCTGCTGGCATGTAAGGCAGGACACTGCAGCACGAGGAGCAGCCGACAGAGGACCTGGGTGTACACAGACTTCGCTTCACGGAGCAGTGAACAGGCAGGGAGGCACAGGGGTGCACGGCAGAGTGAGGCAGATTGGATGACGACGGAGATAAAGGGAGTTTGTTCTGAGTTCAGAAGCCACTGGAGAGTCCTTAATCATCCTAGAAGAGCATGGAAAAGATTACTCTAAATACACCATCGAGAATGTTCTGTAGGGGCAGGGCTGAGCAGAGAACAATTAGGAGGCCATTGCCATAATCATATTTGAGAAGTGATGGTGGCTTGGACAAGGGTGGCCCTAGAGAAAGGTGAAGGGAACGAAGTGGTCTGTGTCTTGGGTTTCTTTCTTCCGTGGGTGCTTGGGTTTGAAACTAGGACCTTATGCACGCTAAGCACATGCTGTATGCTGTACCAATGTACTACAGCCCAGCTCCAGCCTGATTTTATTTATTTATTTTTGTGGTACCAGGGATTGAACTCAGGACCAGGCAAGCACTTATTCTACAGAGCTATCTCCTGTTATGGGTCACTCAGAAAAGGAACCAGATCAGGCAGGTTGGAATTTGGAAAGCTCTTTATTACTGAGCTCAGCTCCCCCCCACCCCAATCTGCTCTCACGCAGGAGAGAACCGAAAAGGCGCCAGCCCAGGAAGCAGGGAGGGGTTTTAAACCCTGGAACCACATTGAGTTTGATAAGCAAATTTATTTTCTGACGCAGAATAATGCTTTCAGAGTGATTGGGACCACAACTCCAACTACATTTCTGGGGCTTTTGTTTAAGTTTCTGGTTAATTTTCACCTGAGTACCTGCAGGCAGCCTTGCATAGCCCGGAGGTTACAAGAAGATAAAGCCCATTTAGTTTCCTTTGTCATCTCCGTAAGCTAACTTTGCAGACAGGAATTAGTGAGGGTCACAGGAATTTTATCTAGCAAACAGCAAGAAACAGCCACTAGTTACTAAGCAATTTAGAACAGTGGTGTGTATACATTTTTACACAACAGAAAACACAAGATTTACATTTATAATCTAAAATGTGAGTTAACCCATTACATCTCCCCAGCCCTCCAGCCTGATTTTGGATAGTTTTTGAAGGTAGAGTAGGAATACTTTGTTGATGGATTGATGTGGAATGGAGAAGAAGAAACAGCAGCAAATCCTGGGTCTGGAAATTTTGAGTGCAGGGGATCACTGAGAGCATGCATTCTGGCTGGCGATGATCCAGCTATATTTTAGTCAGCCTGGCAGAGGCTCAACTTTAGATGAAGTCTGACTTAAGTAGGAATAGGAATTTCCCAGGGTGCAAACATGTAGTTCCGATGCTGCAGGAGACCCGGCATGGGGCTGCATTTCTAACTAGCAAACTGGTGATACCACCTAAGTAGCAGGGGAGTGGAAATTAAATACTGCTGAGCTCTGGGGCCCAAAGGGGAGGCTGCCCTTGATACTTCTGGGTGTTGTCTAAATACAAAAGACCATCTTAGGGATACATCCTGAGTACAAAAGACCATCCCTGCGCCTTCCTTGAGGACAAGACTGAGAGGCCTGTGTAGGAGGCTGGGGGTAGGAAGCCTAATCCCAACAGTCCCTGCTATCTTCTCTGAGTCCTTCTCTGTTTCTTGCCTGTTCCTCACAGACAGTTTTGCCGCAGTGCTGAGTCCAGGACCATGACCCGGCCCAATGCCTTGGACAGGAGCCGCGCAAAACTGTTGACGCACAGCCTGGTACTGGGTGGAGGAGGGAGGAGGGGAGCAAGGACAGCTAGCTAAGACCCTCCACTCACTCATGTCTGTTTTTGCCTTTGCAGAACCTGGTGGCGAAACAAGGACTTAGGCTTTTAGGCGGTCTGAGGCAGGGCAACATGCAAAAGAAGGTGGCATTGGCCAAGAAGCTCCTGGCAAAACTGCACTTTCTGGCTCAGGAGGTAGTGTCTCCCCAGCTCATTTCTGTACCTGTCACCCTTCCTCGTAAGCTTTTGACTATCCCAGAAGCCTCTGGGTAGGTGGATGGAACACTTGCCCTTTGCACTGATACCATTGCTTGGAGCATTGGACCATGCTCTGTTTAGAGCAGCGCAGGGTGAAGAAAAGAGAGTGATAAGATCTAGTGGCAATCCAAGAAATACTCAAGATCTCTTTAGAGGTGAACATCTGAGGGTAAATTCCCTTGGACATGACCTTCCTGTTTGGAAGCTCTATAAAGAAATTACTTAAAGGTGAAGGAGTTCACAGTCGGGGAATACGTTCTCTACTGAGTATCTGCATGTGTTACCTTGTGATCCTTCCAATTGTGTTGGGGAGAGTTTACCTCTTTGACAGGAGTGCAAATGGAGGCTTAGAGCAGGACAGTGACATGGTCTGTGGTTTAGCAGCAGAGCTGGAATTCCAAGCCAGTTGGATTTTGGTCTTAGAGCTTGAAGCTGATTTGGGATTTAGAAAATAAAGAAGAATGTGCAGCCTCTATGTCAGGCTAGACCTTGAGGATTGACCGAGACCACAAGGACAGGCAGGTTTGAAGCAAACAGTGATATCTTTATGTCAAGCTAGGTGCAGTCTGGTCAAGGGTGAGAAATCCATTGATCATGAACAAAGGAAGAGAATCTATTTTATTGACTAACTTAGGTATAGGAGGGGTCACTTGGTAAGTCTGGTGCCTCTGTCAGGAAGCACTTGGGGCAAGTTCAGGATGACAGTAACATTTTGCTGATCCACAGAGTGGAATTCTATAGACTTACAGGATTTCCTGTATGCCTAAGAACCAGGCCTGAGAGCCATTCTGATTAATAGATTTATTTTAGTTTCTCAGGCTGAGTATGTATGTATGTGGTTTCCTGCGCGAACAGAGTGATGGTCTGTAATTTTTCTCTTCAGGTTGGTATGGGTCTAATTGTAAAGACCCAACAATGTAAAAATGCCTAGAACTAGGAGGCCAATGCAGGTGGAAGTCAGAAGGTTTGAAGGACAGATAGTATGGAGCCTTTGTTTTTTTTTTTTTTTAATATTTATTTATTTATTTTGTGTGTGTGTGGCCAGCTCAGCCCACCAGGGTGCGGGGCTAGCTGGCATGTGGTGCTGGGGGATTGAACTGCGGTCCCTGTGCTTTGCTTAGCTTAGCTTGTTCTAAGTAGGTGCTTTAGACCACTGAGC